GACAAGTTTAAGTCCATTTGTGTTTTACGAACAAAGACAGAGCGGACCAACTAATGTGTTTGTATATTCTGATAATGCACTATCAGCTATAGCAGAAGGATCACTGGACTTTAACGCTAATAATTTTCCACTAGTTGCAGCAGAAATCAGTAAGTAGATATGTGTTATTGTGTGATTAGGAGAGCATGATGTGCTCCTGGTGTAATTTTTTGCACATTCCTCCAAGAGTTCATGTACTCTTAATTCCTCCATAGGGGTTTCCACTAATGCAATTAGCAACAGTATTATTAGCTCTACAACCATAAACAGCATGCACCCTGTTCTCAGAACCACTTCTATATCTACTGGTAAATTATTTACGCCACTGAATATTAAATATTAATGATCATATATTATAGCCATTGTAGCCTCTTCCAAAGCTAGCGCTACACCTGTAATATCAGTAACACCTATCAGTAAATCATCAGCTACAACTATTGGTGAATCATCAGTAACAACTAGTTATAAATCTAATGTAACTGTTTTTGTTACAACAACAGGTAGGCCAGCATAATCTACAATAATTATGTATCTTTCATTTTTCCATAGCTACACCACTCTCTCCTACATCTCAATCAACAGTGTCAGCTTTAATTATTGGAATGATAGCAGTCATAGTATGCACTGTGTTCATCGTAATATCATTAATAATAGTGACGTGCATTTGTTTGAAGAGGAAATTACCAGCTAATATTAGATCATCTGCAATAGTTTCCCCCATTCCTAACACTACTAAATATGGTAACTCAGATAACAACAGCTCATTTCCTAAAGAAAATAATGATATCATTAAGAATGGTGATTCTAGCATCATTGCCATAAATGACCCAGTGTATGAATCTATGATATATAATATGGCATATGAACCTAATATTATTACCACAAAAAATGCAGCATACCAATGCAGTGTTCCACAGATATCTAATATAAAAGAAGTCAATGATGAAGATATATAATTATTCTTAAAATACATCATTCTTAAACTCATACTAACTTTGCCTGATAATTATGTTTTTCTTATTCCTTTTATTCTTTTTATCCTTGATTGTTTTAATTATGATATTAAACTAAAAGCATTACAGTTTACACTACTTTAACTAGTACCTATGTCAATGTTCAGTACATTGGCAAGGTCAAATTTTAGCTCAGCATGCATGTTTTAACGCTTACATCAATTGATGTAATCTTTCATAAATTGCTAGTTGAGACTTGAGTCTTAAGATACACAACTTTCTAAGGGTTTAATAGCAATTAGCAGCAGCCAACAGTATTATGAAGGTCATGTTTACCTTTAACTACACATTAGCAGCAATTAGCAGCTTTTGTCAAGTGATATTGCCAATAGCAATATGAAGGTACATCCCTAGTCTAAATCAAGAGTGCATACTCTTGGTCTAGCATATGATCTGTTCACCAGCAACATTTACGGTATTCATTTTTATTTTATATTGTTTATTACCGTCTTTATTTACAGTAAGATATCCAGGTAATGGATTTAAATATGAAGGAGTATCATCAGGTTGTTCATAATCAGAAATTTTTGTGGTGATGCTAAAATTGTAGGTAATACTGCCCTTACTATTGCTAATAATTATTCTTTAAATACCGATACCGCAGATGATTTAGATGTTTTACATGTTTATATTAATCAATCAACAATCGGATTAATACAGGAATATTATGCTTATTATAATGAACCTACAACAACATCAGCACTTTCAGAACAATTTAATACGTTGAGTGATAGTGTTAATAATAATGCTACTTCATTACAAGCTATTGGTATTGATGTTAATAGTATTAAAACTAAAAATACAAAATATGATGAAGTTCTCGATGGTTATTTATCTGACGATGATACTACTACTGTTAAAGATGACATATCAATAGTAAGAGATCAAATAGATATTGACTTTGGATATAATAGTACCA